CCTGTCACATCAGAAGATAAAAAAAAATCTTTTACAATGCCCCTAAAATGCAGAAAGGTTAATATTTATTAAATTAGAAAAATAGGACAGCCACATGACATGCAGTTGGTGTAAGCCAGAACCCATTCTTGTTTATCTTGAGAGACTGACAGGATCTTCTCACCAATAATTATTAGCTAGACTCTTCAGAAATTAATTTCACTTACAATCACAAACACAGGCACTAGGGGAAAAAAAACCCAAAAAGGTGGTGGACATGAAATAAATTATTTGCTGCCAAGGAATGAGAATGCTTTTCCATTTCTGCTGTGCTGCCATTCTAATGTTTCCCTGAGCACCCGGAAAGCATCAGGGTGAGATTCACACACTTGCACAAACCCAAATTAAAGAGGCTTCTTGCAGGGCTTCCCACAGAAGACTGAATTGACTTTGTGCCCTTGTGTATACTCGGTGTGTGAGCAGAGGGGTGGGAGGGGACTGCAGCAGTTGTAGCAGTCCCCAGAGAGAGCTGGGACAGCTGTTCCAGGGGCTTCTGACCAGAGACTCCAGTAGCTTTGTCACCAGATCACTTATCTCATTTCTGTGTGGTGATCCCTTTCGGCCTGGAGGTGCAGGGATTGCTTCGTGGAGGGGTGAAGTCATCAGACATCCCTCACTTCTATCCAAACCATGTCATTGCAGCAGGGAAGGGTGATCCATATCACTGGAAAAGTTTACTCCAGTGAATCATTCTTGCTGAGAGCCTGTGCAGTGGTGTGGGTAAATACAGCCTCTCCTTTTTATGAGCATCAGAAGTGGAATGCTGAAGTCACTTGACCAATGTGAAGGGAGGTTCAACTGGGAATAAAATCATTTTGGATTTGATTAATAGAATACCCCTCCTTTCCTGGCTAAGAAGGGACTGCTTTAACCTGGTACGTGGTAGTGCTTGGATTACCAGCCATGTGGCATTCATCAGTACCATTTCTCTGTACTTTGTTCACTCTGCCATGGAGGAATCTTGATCCATATTGCTGTTCCCACAGAAATGGTTTGTCTATACAAGCCATATCTATTACTCAAAGTACTTTCTTGATCTTCTATGAGGCTACCACAGAATTGTATGTCAGTGAGGTGCTGAGAGGTTTTATAGCATTGCTGTCAGTACATATTTGTCAAGGATCTTCTACAAACCCTGGCAGAGGAAGTTTAGCTTCTGTATCTACCTCTAAATCTGGTTTGATTCAGTTGAACCATGGACTCTCTCTGATATTTTGTCAGTCTCCACTCCAACCACCTGTGTACAGTGACACTGCAGTAACTCTCCTGCTGGTCACTAGATGCCACCTTTACAAGCAATGAGACCCACCTTAGCTGATGATTTTTGTACCTGCCATGGGAGTCACTGCCTTTACAGCTGACTTACAGCAGCAGATCACACCAGTGCTCTGTGGCTCCTGCCACTGCCCAGTGTGCAGATTTCACCTCTCTTGCTCAGTGGTGGTTCCAGAGTGGTGTGGTGTCAGTCACTTGCAGTGTTGCTCACAGGGACCTGGGCCAAGGCCAACAACTCAATTCATGTTATTGGCTGAGTAAGAAAAATGCCACTGGTGCTGACCTTGTCATAAATCCACAGCCCCTGTCCCCACGCCACCAGCTGTCCAGAGCAGCCTTTTAAGGGCTGATTGTGTCTGCGTTCTGGTTGCTAAAATTGTTTGGTTCCTTTGTTATTTCAACTCTGTGGTCTCAGAGGAGAAAATTTCTCAGTAATTTTGCCTTCTCATCCCCACTGTGTGCTGTGTGCCAGCAAGGCTGAAGAACAAGGCTGTCTTTAAATGAAAAAGCCCTGCCTTTTCCTCCTTGCAGTCCTACAGGTTAAACATGACTTCTCGCTTCTGTCATTCATCCTATTAAGAAAACCCTAGACTGCCAAGTGCACCCTCATTTGCCAGTTTCCAGGGGATGGCAAGCATTTATACCTGAATCATAAACCCTGAAGGAAGGGCCTTATCTGATGTGGTACACCAGGCTCAATGGGCTGGTCTGTGCAGCTGCAGCACCTTGGGTGAAAACTTCAACAGTGCTTCTTAAAAATAAACCAGCTTGATGCTGCCTGCACTGTGCTGAAGGACATGGCTGTTTATGTTTACAGACCTTGCACTTCACTGCTGCAAGTGGTTCTCTGGTGGCAGGATCCTAAACTGGTTGGATTCAGTTTGAAATTCCGTCTCTGCAGCAAGATCAAATGAGGTTGGACCAGTTATCACCCTCTCTCACCTCACTTGCAGGATGGAGATGCATTAATGTGTTGATGATGCAAGACTGAAGGAAGACTTTGCTTGTAGCCATTATTGCTGAACCAGTTGTTCTCATGATTTATCCAGAAAGCCCTAAGTGTCCTTATAAATGTAAAATTTCTCTCTCTTTTTTTTTTTTAATTCTTGAGCAGATGGAAGACTTAGATGGAAAGGAATAAAAAACATAATTTGCCGAAGCTCTCAATTAATCATAATCAAGTTTGTGCATGTTATACTCTACAAGGGTAACAACAATGAAACACAAGGAGAAAAGGATGCTTTCCTCAGGCAGTTCTGGAGACATAAAAGCAATAAAGAAGCATACTTCAGAATAATGTGGAGATATATGACTGCACTAAATAAAAATGCTTCTTTAACGTACTGTAAAAATAAAGATGTTTAGTTAGATTTATCATTCTTGTTACAAACACAAATTGATCCCTTGGACTACACCACTGGCTCTGAAAGTATCCAAGGGATGGTTGCAGCCCACTGTTTTCTGTAATTATTTCAACATTGTTTTATTTCTTAAAGAGCTAACTGGATTATTCCTTCTTTTCACTCCAAGGTTAATATATGGGGCACTTGATCATGCAGATATAGATTTTTGACTTTTACACTATATCCAAGCCATATTTTAATTTGGTATACTGAGAGGAATGCTTTGCTTATTATATTCCATGAGTCACATCTAAACCTATGAAAAGACATTTTTAAAACTAGTTTTACAAATGGCAACACGTGGTAATTGAAAGCCACCCCACTCCCCAAATCCGCTCCTGATTGACTTGAGAACATTCAAAACCAGTGAGATTCGTTTCTGCAGCTTCATTCAACCATTGCAATGAGCAAATGAAACAATTGTTTTATTTGTAAGAGGAGATTATCCCTTGAAGGCAGATAGAAGGATACTGCCCACAGAACCCCATTTGCAGGCACAAAGAGCGCTTAGTCAATTTTTGGCAGTGATACTGAAGCTATTAGTTTTGGATATGAGTTCACTGATGTTCAGTGCTGTAGATTTCCAGTTAGTTCGTGAAGGGCCTTTAAAATTACGCACAGAGCTTCATTAATTGCTTCAGAAAAGAAGCAACAAATATCAGGCCCTTAAAGTGTGTGTGCACAGAATGGCCATTGATTTCAATGAATGTTCCCCACTGGAGAGCTGGTCCTGTGTCCTGGGAAGGCAATCACAGTTTGTACAGTAGTTGCATCAGCATTGCCTCAAAGTACAAGGGCTTCTGCAGGATCAGGCCCTGGTAGCTGTAATTGATTGGTTTTTATCTCTTTCATTCTCTTTCTTTCTCTCTCTCTTTCTAATTGTCTGTATACATGGTTTATATACATGTCCACACACATACATACGTGTCCACACACATACATACATATATATATCCCTGATTCAGTGCATTAAGAGTTTAACAGTGAATGTGTTAAGTTAGAGACCAATACAAGACGACAAAGTTCAAAAGAATAAAATAGAAACCCAGGTGTGTGGTCTTGAAGGATTTGGGATTTTTTTTTTCCATTTGAGAGAATAGTGCCTGAACATTTGTTCTGCAACCAGCTGTCCATAAAGGAGAATTTTCTATGCCATCCTTGCAAACAGCACAACCTCATGTGATCCCTGATCACAACAAATTGATTTATTTAAATAAAAATAATGATCTTCTTTCCTTTCTCCAGCCCCAGCAGCAAAATCCCATGTAACCCCAATCAGCAAATTGATACAGTTATCTTCTTTTACCCTCCTTTCTCCAACCCAAACAATACCACCCTGATCCCCAAGTAATAAGAAAATGATTTATGCAAACAAAAATAATTATCTTTCTTTGCTCTCCACCCTCTGACCATATAATCTCAGAAGCTCTTTGTTTAACAAATTGATTTATTTAAATTAAACAAATAGTGATCTCCTTTTGACCTCTGTGGAGCACCTCTGTGGCAGACTCCTACCACTGCAACCACCTTTCCCAGATGCTTGGAAGGATGTGTTTTAAAATATAACAGCTCTGCAAACTAACCTTGATACATTGTTAGTCCTCTAATCAAAGCTCATGGAAGCTCTGTTCCTGTGAAATGAAATTAGGACACGTCTCATCTAAAAATTAGGAGAAGTAAGCTAAATGTCACTGGACCATCACTGGCAAAACTTTCAAGGAGCAAGAGGCAGAGTCCTGCTTGTCAGTGGTTTCATTGACAATTCTGTGTTTGATAGTCCTGAAGGTGTATAAATACATATATATGTATGTGTTATCTGTGTATTTTTTCCTGTGCTGGTTTTATTTAAATTTGTATTTTCTGTGCTGTCCAACCAATGCCTCTGTTTTATGCAGCTGCTACTTAAACAGTCATTTGGGCATTACACAGAATTACATAATTATATGTGCCATAAGCAAAAGTGCAAATAGTCCCACTTAGCACCTAATCAGATGATATCTGTTGTGAAATGCTGGCAAAGAAGCCAATAGATATGACTTACTTTGCTATTAGCTCTGCTCCTTTGGAGGCGAGTACGGGCTGCAGCTGGAATTTGGCAGAGATGGAAGAGGGATTAAGTGATAGTGGGGGCCTGAGTGTATTGTGTACAGAAACATTCTTTCCTCCACCAGTTTCTGTGGTGTGCAGTGCTCAGAGCGGGACAGTGGTGTTAACCAGTCTCCCAGATTTTGAAATACTTTGTTTTTTTGCAGTTCATTCACACTCTGTGTGTGCTTTGGTTTCAGACCCACAGCGCTCTCTGACAGAAGACAGTGACATGATAGGAGTGGTGACACAAAGCTCTTACTGTTACATTCAATAATTGATTCTCCTGGATGGATTGTGACTCCCTAAAGGTTGCAAAGAGAGGTAAGAATGATTGGACAGCTTCAAAAACATTAGTTCCTTCCAAAGTCAGAAAGTTTTACTCCTTTGCATCATTCTTCTCCACGGTCTAGCACTCTTTGGGACTCTTTGCAAATACATGGGAAAATCATTAAGAGAGATTGTTGTTATTAACGAGGCATTTTCTTAGTTCATTTTGGGGTAATTTTGAGTGTTGTTGGTTTTTTTTTAATTTTTTTTAAATGTTCAACACTGAATTGGGAATCACAATGTGAAAAAGATGATTGTGTCAGTTTTTATGATTGTCACAAACACTACATGGGAAATTCAAATGAAAATGAAAACTTTTTTGCAGAAATGGTTCAAGTTGCAAAATAGAAACACAGATACCTCTGAAGTTTTTCAAATCTCACCTTTTTTATTTTGTCCATTTGAAATATAATTTTTATTCTTCAAAAATTCAAATAATTGAGGTTTTTGCATGTGAACACCTTTGGAGATATGATCTCAAAATATACTTGGATATTAGTTTCAGAATATTCTATTTCAAAGTTCAGTCCTTCCCATGCATTTTAATTACCTTACTCCTGACTTGCACAAGTAAAATGAGGTGAGACTCACACTATAAAATTATGCAAAAATGCTTCCATAAAAAAAATAATAATCTTGCTCTGAAATTATACCCGGACGATTATTAGAGCTTCAGCCCTTTAAAAAATTCAGCCACTGTCTATTGTCTTGCCAGGGAGGCAAGTATTTCTACAGATGGCTTGGAATTAGTAGAACATGAAATAATGTCAGTGGTACTGGTAAGAGGATTAACCAGCAGTTCTGATGTTATTGAACGGTTTGCAGAGACCATATTAAACAGCCACATCAGTCCACAGGTCAGCCCTGCAGTTCTTCAGCTAAGCAAACACAGATGTAGGACTCCCTTTCATGGCCATCATTTCATGCCTTTGACATATGTTAGGCTCTTGGGACTCTGTGGCATATTTACAGCCTGAACATTAAAGATTCCTTTTCTTAGATCCTTAGTGGACACTGATGTCTAAGTCAGCAGCAAAAGGAAAAGCAGGAGCCCAGTATGGACCCCAGCAGCACAAACGTATCAGTGAGGAATTAAGCTGCTAGGATGCTGCCCTGATGAAATGCTGGGGCCTTTTTCAGTTGCTGACAAAAATTCTCTTTAAGAATCCAGTCAGTTCTAAATCTCTTTTTCTTTAGGGTTGATCTTGTCTGTGTTTTGCCAAAGCTGCCTATGAAGTCGCAATGGTTGAATTTCACAAGGAGAGAGGGTTCAGCTCATGTCAGCACTGCCAGGCCTCTGTGCTTGTTCAAAGTTTCTGCAAATCTACTGGGACTATAAATTGGCCAGAAGAAATTGAAGGAACAGTCTGTCTTACAATATTCCTGTTCCTTTTCTATTACAACAGAAGCTTTGGCAGTTCTTTATTATTATCCTCAGTTTTTTGTTTCTCTAAAACTAGGAGTCAGAAATGAAAAAAATAAATAGCACAACTATGTGATGAACAGGTATCTTTTAGATACACAAAATATATACTTATGTATGTCTAGTGAGAACAGGGTGAGACAGGTTCTTCTTGTTTATCTGAATAGTTTTACCTGTCTCAATCCTGAGTTTTATCTGAAAACTTGTCAGTTTTCAGATAAAGTTATAGGTATAGACATGCTATGGTCAAAGTAGAATTCCTGAATGTACAGGTTGCTGACAAAGAATTTGTATAGAAAGAAGATAAAGCAAGTGATAAAATACAGAGCTTTTGCTCAATAATTACTTAATATGGTGCAAATTTTAAGTGAAATTTCCAGCATACAGCTGCTCCACGTGTAGCCACTTCTTCCTGAAAGAGGAAGTAAGCACTCAGCCAGAGAGTGTAACAATGAATTACATTCAACCTAGAAGTGCTTTAGCATGTCTTCAAGAGCTGCTGCCTGCTTCAGTGATGGATTATAAGTTAGTATGGAATCCCACAGGCATGGCAAGGTATTTATGGAGTGTTCTGATTGCTCAGACACTCCCAACAAATGTACAGTCAGAGCAGAAATCAGAGTATCACCATCTCCCACTTTATTTTATTTATTTATATTTAGTGAGTGCTGGAATATTACAAACCACGAAGCACAGCTGTAGCTGGAATATACTTTCCAAAGCTTATTTACAGTAGCTCTCACTCACAATGGGTAATGGTATATTACTCCATAAGTAGTTCCATTGATTTCAAGAGATCCATTAGAGAGGTTCCACTCCTTGTACAGCTGACTGTATCTCGATTTGGTCCCGTGGTTGAAATGCAGAAAGAGCTCCTTTACTGCTGTGTTCTTAAATGCATCAAGAGTTTGAAAAAAGCCCTACACCAAGCCCTCCCCCAATAGCTCATAATAGTGCAAAATACTGATGAGGCTGGAGGGATGAGGTTCTGCAATATTTTATTTCCTTGCAGAAGCAGTGATACATATTCTTCAGTTATACATAGATGAATGTTCATTCCATGTGCTGTTTTCAGCTGTGTACTTACACCAGTCCAAAATCCCAAAGAGAAAAGTAAAAGCTGAGATTCACATCAGTAGCAGAGAACATCAGGTGATGCTGATTTAAAGAAAACATTAATCAATCCAGATTTGCTTGGAACGGGGCCCAGGTTCACTCAACAGGTTGGTGAACCTTAGCAAATGTTTCTGTGAATCTGTTCTGTGTTTTGACTTTGTAACATGATCTGAAATCATCTGAGTTTCATGTGGTTTTGTTGTGCACGTTTGGAACGCTCGTGGGGCGAATCCAGGGAAAGACATAGGTGCTAAATTTTACATGACGTGGTAAGGTAAAAAGTGCTTCACTCTTCCTGACACTCCCTGACACCAAAGTGAACAACAGTTGATGCTGTCAGCACAGTTTTAAAAGAGGAGACAATCACTGTCAGGCTCCTTGTGTCTCCAGGAGTCTTTATTTTGGAGCCAACAGACAGTCTTCAAATCATACCCTGAAAAACCCTATCATGAGTGTTGGACTGTTATATTCCTTTTCTCTGTTTCTGGTAAATGTCAAAAGTTTTACTGCATAGGCAGGTACTGGAGTTGTGAACAGTATGTTACGTTTCTTGATGTATATTGGTTTGAAGAAGTTATATAGTGCTTCTAAAAATTAGGTTTTTATGTTGAGTCTGTGGATGAACAACTTGTGTTTTAACTTTATTCAGTTTGTATCTGAATTCATAAAAAGGTATACTCAGCCTCCATAGCTGGATATAAAGTATTTAAGATCCATCTACACCAATCAGGTAACAAATATGATGAGGTGACACTTTCTATTAATTTTATTTTTAGTCCAAACTAGAGCCCAGAGCAATAAAGATGTGAGACACTCTGCACGAAAAACAAAATCTAATTCATCAGAGGATGCCAAATTTTTCATTCTGTTTCAGGGTGAGCAACAGAATTTTGCTGGAGCTGAGATTTTGGAGACAAAGGCAGGTGGGAGGAGCTGTTTATTTTTTTACACTGACTTACTGCCTCATAATTGTGACATGTTTGTGGATCAGTAGGATGACAGGGACCTTAGAGAAAAGGAAGCCAGTGAGTGTAGCTCAGTGGCCTGGCATCTATACAAAGTCTGAGTAGATAATTTAACTGTCTCTTCTGACCTTAAACCTGAGGAAACTCAAAGGAAAAAAATCAAAGTCTGCAGAGGTTATAGGTAAGAAAAGAATGTAACAGGCTGGGGTGTCCTTTATTGGCCTTGAGGTTCAGCATTCCTTGGCACATCAGGCAGAGTGGGGTACAGCCACAGATGGAATGGTCCTGCCAGTCAATTCAGAAGTACAGTAGGAAGGAAGAGAAGCTTGCCAGTAATATTCAGGTTTAAACTGATCTCTTTATTCTCCTCTAGAAGAGTTCTGTTTGCACCCGCTCATATCATTGCATTTTTCCACTAAGGTTGTCTCACTTATTTAACTTGACACAGGGAGCCCCCTCTGAGGTCTTTGAGATTCCAGCCAGCATTGGAAGTGACAGCCCAGATAAGGCAGGTAATCATATCAGACCTTGGGGGACCACACTGACTACTTTTTAATTGATAATTCCAAGTTTCTGTAATAAATTTATTTCTTAATTATATACATCATGTCATACATGGTAGCTAATGATTACCACTAGTTTAAGTCTGCAGCCTTCAAGACATCCTTCTCCCTACCATATAATCATAATTTTCCTTCCAAATTAAGATTTCCTCAGAAAGAAAATGAACAAAACCTGCACATTAAATCCAATTCCTTCCAAATAAAAGAAAAGTAGGTAAATTTAAGATACTAAGTTAAGTAAATGATTTTAATTAGAGGATAATTTCATGAAGATCATAAAACATTTAAATAACCCTGAAGTTATGTATATTTAAGCAGTTTTATGGAGAATTAAAGTCTTAAATGGTAAAATTCAAATGTAAATACAAAAGTCGATGCAAGAATGTTAATTGCTTTTCCTAAGTTTCTCACATGGCCTAGATGTTACGGGAGGTATCCAGAATTACATTCATAGTAATAATGTGCCCAATTCAAAGCTTATTAAAGTCCTTGGAATTTTTCCATGGATTTTAGCAGTCATTGTATGAAAACAACAAATGCTTTTCAATGTCTAACTTCCAGTACTGAGGAAGTCGCTTATATATCAAAATTATGTATGTGATGTCAGTATTCTAACATAATGGTAAATTTTTATTTCAAAATTCCTTTTAATAGCCAAGAAATTTAAACAGACCTTGAGAACTGATCCAGTTACCTCTTTAACAAATAAAATTATATTTGCAGCAACAGACATTTTACACCAGCAGATTAGTTTGTATAAAAGAAAACTTATACACCAGGAGAAGCTGCTACAATTAGACAACAAAATGTGCCAACAAATTGAATTATCAAGAATGTGAATTCTCCCATGCCTGTCTGTAGGTCAGCAATACTCTTACATTAGTTTTGACTTAAATAGATCAAATTAAAACTTAATTTTACAGTTTG